TTCTTTAATTAGAAATAACGAAAATGACTTTGAAGTAATATTCTAACTAACAAGTTGCTTTTCAGGGCTCCAAATAAAATTTGAATTATATATTATTACTACTTAATAGTAAATGACAATTCTCATTTAAATTTATAACTTATTGAGACTTTGATATATCATTTTTTAAAATATTTTTGTTTTGAAAATTTAGATTTCCAACCAATCAAGGGCTGTCTTTGTTCATTAAGGAAATGGAGAGGAAGGACAAATGAATGTGAAAATTCCTAAATATAATGTAATGAGACTATAGAAGAATGGGTCAAGAACTCAGAACCACATAATATGACCTAAAAAATTGGGCATCAAATCAAATAAGGTGTCTGTGTCTAAAATCTTGTCCTTCTTCGTGAATATCCTCCCAAAGTTAGAGGTAGCATTTTTTTTTTTATGGAAACCAACGGCACCATCGTCAAACTTGTGAACCTGAAATGCACCTATTTGGCCTACTCAAAGTATCTGGGGCATGTTTGGTAGGTTTAGCCTTTAATTGTTTCCTCACATGTTCGTATCAATCTCATTTCTCAGTCTCAGCATGGTACCCACCCACTTTAAACATAACCCACATGCATGCAATGCAATTGAATTGACTTGAACCAATAGAGATAGCATCTTTCATCTATAGTTCGATTTCGTTTGTCCTCTTGGCACGACAAATGGCATATGGCCACCAGGACCAACCTCAAGGATTGGGTTCGAGCTGACCCACATGGGCCTGGCTCCTTTCCTTTTTTTTTTTCGCCATCAATTATGTCCAATACGTGGGCCTATTTTAGCTTTAGACAAAAGTCACCAAACTTGTTTTTGTTTTTTTTGGCTTAGAATATATTTGGTTTAAAAAAACAAATAGAAGAGAAGGCAAGAGAGCATAGAGAGGATTTTGTTGACTAATGCACTGTTTCCCTTACTTTTTTTCTTTTTTTTTATGATTGGGGTATTTTCGAGTTAACTTTTGTGTCTTTTGAAATTAGTTTCTCTTTAAGTGATCTTAAGGGCGTTGCATGCTTTATATCAATTTAGTACATTTAAAAAAATTAATTTCTTAGCTACTAACCCCAAGATTTGAATATTGAATTTAACCTATAAGACCACACTTACTTACTAATGGATTCAACTCTTGGACTTCCATTTCCCTCACTTTATTAGCCAAAATGGTATTGGGTTTTGAGGGATTGAAGTTGCAGGCCTAAAAAGTTCTAGCTAGGGATGAGCATGGACAGCATGGGTCAAGTATTTACCCATACTCTTACTTGATTTGAATAGTAACAAGTATAAGATTTCAATATCTAGTACTTATCTGGGTATTGAAATTTTATACACGTTACTTAATTTGTTGGGTATAAGTATACTTACAAGTATACTTGGATACTTATTAAATTTTACACTGAAAATATATAAGTTAATATACAACTACAAGTTTATATATAAAACAAAATACGTAAGTATATATATTTATGCATACACAAGTTTATATATACAGTAACAAAAGACGTACAAACAAAAATTCACATAAATTTCTTTCAGTTGAATCTTTATTATAAAAAAAAAAAAAACAAAAAAACATAAACATTTTAATTCTATAACATTATATTACAAATTAAGTATATAAAACTAAACTATATATCATGTATAGGAGTCAAGTATATATGTCAATATTGACCTTCATACCCAATACTTACCCAATACTTAGGAGGTATGCATTTTTCATACTTGATATTTAACTATTTATTCACAAATACAGGTAAAATATCTACTTAAACAAATCAAATACCTACAAATATCAGATATATCCTACAAATATCAAAGATACCCGCGTACATGATGCTCAACCCTAGTTCTAGCTCAAAGCAACATTGGATATGGAATTATGGAACGGTATTTTGGGCTTTAGCCCATTTGAATCCGGTTTGTTTGACTTCTAAAGTCGTCTCTATTTTCTTTTCTTTTTTTTTTTTTCCTCTGAGCCAGCACATGAAGCTGTCCTGAGCGAGCTCGGCACAAGCGCGAACTCAGGAGAATGCGTCCCGCAATGGAAACGTGCAATTCTTCCTTTCTCCAGATGCTTCTCCTTAGAATTCAGCTCAGTAGTATAATTATAATTCTCGTTTTCTTGGGGATTTTGGTTCTCGTTTGGTTCCTACTTCCTACAACGACTGGTTGCGTAATTTCAACAAACATTAGCATTCATCCAAAAGGAAAGAAAAAAATGGCCTCTTTGCTTCTTTGGCAGCGGAAAGCTTCAGCCTTCGAGGTTTCTCGCATCCTTCAAGGTTAGACCCTGAAACCGTTTGCTTTGAGAACAAAATTCGCAGATTGTATTTTTTGTCCTTGTTTTCTTTTTTCTTTTTTTTTTTTTTTTGGGGTTTATTTTCTTGTAACTATCTGTTCCAATTCTAGAGGAATTCCAATTTTGAAAGTCCTTCCTTTTTTTCTTTTGAGCAAATAGGTGTAATTTGTTTGCCTATCAAATTTGCAATGTATGTAGTAGGAGAAGCTGAAACTTGGAAAGCAAGACAGACCTGTAATACCCATCTCGTAATTTATACTTAAAGTTGGATTCTTGGGAGCTTGTAGTTCTTTTGCAATACTAATCTGGCTACTAGAGTTAAGTAAGTCAATTAGGTATTATAAGATAATAGTAGAGAGGCTAACGAGTT